TACTGAAACTCTTAGCCAGAACAATTAGCCCCCGCCAAAAAAAGAAAAGAAATAAAAGGTCTCTGTTAATAAATTAGCTCGGTTCTCAGGTAACACGATTTTATACACAGAAAACCATACACAGAAAATAACTGATACAACTAATAAATGAATTCAGTAAAGTTGCCAGACACAAAAATCAGCATACAAAAAGCATTTGCATTTCTCCACACTAACAACAAACAATCCAAAAAAAGAAAATAGGAAAACAATCCCATTAATAATAGCATCAAAAAGGATAAAATACTTAGGAATGAACCAAGGAGATAAAAGACTTGTACACTGAAAACCACAGAACATTGCTGAAGGAAATTGAATATACATAAATAAATGGAAAAACAACTGATGTTCATGAATTGGAAGACTTAATATTATTAACATGTACATACTAACCAAAGGCACATATTCAATGCAATCCTTACCAAAATCTTAAGGGCAATCTTTACAGAAATAGAAAAACTGAATCCAAAATTGATATGGAACCACAAAAGAGAAGTTAAAACAATCTTGAGAAAGAAAAACAGCTTTCTTGTTGAAACAATTTTCTTGTTGAGGCCTCACACTTCCTGATTTCAAAACATATTCAAAGCTACAGTAACCAAAACAATGTGGTACTAGCATAAAGACAGACATGTAGATCAATGGAACAAAATAGAGAGCCCACAAATAAACCCATTCATGTATGGTCAACTGATCTTCCACAAGGGTGCCAAAATTACAAAATGAGGAAAGGATAGTCTCTTCAACAAATGGAATTGGGAAAACTGAAGATCCACATAAAAAGAATAAAATTGGACCCCTATTTTATACCATATATGAAAATAAACTCAATAGATCAAAGACTTGAACATAAAACCTAAAACTGTAAATTTCTGAAAAGAAAACATAGGGGAAAGTCTTCACGCACTGGTCTTGGCAATATTCCTTGATATGGCACCAAAAGCAGTCAATAAAAGCAAAAATAGCCAAGTGGGACTGCATAAAACTGAAAAGCTTCTGTACAATGGAGAAGACCAGCAACAGCAGAAAAGGCATACCAAACATAGGTATGGGATGGGAGAAAATATTTGCAAGACATATATCTGATAAGAGGTTACTACCCAAAATACGTAAGAAACTCCTACAACTCAATAGCAAAACAAACAAAAACAAACGACCCAATTAAGACATGGGCAAAGAACTTAAATAGACACTTCATCAAAGAAGATATATATAAATCACCAACAGATACAGCAAAAGATACTCAGCATCACTAATCATCAGGAAGTGCAAATCAAAATCACAATGAGATATCATCTCATACCTATTAGGATAGCCTCTGTAACAAGACAGAAAATAACAAGCGTTGGCAAGCATGTGGGGAAACTGGAAGCTTTGTGTATTGTGGGTGGGAATGTAAAATGGTGTGGCTGCTATGGAAAACAGTATAGCAATTTCTAAAAAAATTAAAAGTATAGAACTAACATATCATCCAGCAATTCTACTTCCATGTATTTATCCAAAACTATTAAAATCAGCATCTCAAAGAGATATTTGTACTCTCATGTTCGTTGCAGCGTTATTTACAGGAGCCAATCTAAATGTCTACTAACAGATTAATGGATAAAGAAAATGTATATGCTAACAATGAAATATTATTCAGCCATTAAAAGAAGGAAATCCTATCATATGCTATAATATGGGTGAATCTGGAGGCCATTATGCTATGTAAAATAAACTAGTCATAGAAGGACAAATAACTACATGGTTTACCTTATATGAAGTATCTCAAAAAATCAAACTCATCAAAGCAAAAAGTAGAATGGTGGTTGCCAGGGGCAAGAGGAGGGAGAAATGGTGAGTTGCTGTTCAATGGGTATAAAGATTCAGTTATGTAAGATGAAAAAGTTCTAGAGATGTGCTGTAGAACAATGTTTTTTTTTTTTTTTTGAGACAGAATCTTGCTCTGTTGCCTGGGCTACAGGGCTGAGAGTACAGTGCTGCGATCTCAGCTCACTGCAACCTCCACCTCCCAGGTTCAAGCAATTCTCCTGCTTCAGCATCCTGAATAGCTAGAATTAAAGGCGCCTGCCACGATGCCAGGCTAATGTTTGTATTTTTAATAGAGACGGGGCTTCACCATCTTGGTCAGGCTGGTGTTGAACTCCTGACCTCGTAATCCACCTGCTTCAGCCTCCCAAGGTGCTGGGATTACAGGCATGAGTCATTCTGCTGGGCCGGTACCATGTTTTTACAATTAAGAAGCTGTACTGTGCACTTAATAATCTGTTGAGGGAGTAGGTCTCACGTTACGTGCTTTTAACCATAATAGAAAAAAGTCAATGTATCTCACAATATAGCAAATCATAAAAATGCAGATAAAAATTATTACCTGTTAAATTAATAAGGATTTTTAAATGCTGGTGAGAGTTTCCTGGGGCAGCCTCTCTTATACCAGCAGTTACACTTTAAATTGGCAGTTACAACCTTCTGAAAAATCGTTTGGAAATATGCATGAAAGGATCTTAAAAATATTTGTACCCTTTGATATAATAATTTTGCCTGTAGAAATATGTCTTCATGAAGCAATAACAAATATAAACATGTTTATTATTTACAAGAGCAAAAATTAGAAACCTTCTATATATTCCATAGGAGGGGAATGGTTAATAAATGTTGATACTTATGATGAACAACAAAAATGTTTTTGAAGTTTTAGTTACAAGAGCAAACTTCTGACAATATAATATTAAATTTAAAAAGGCAGGATACACTTTAGAAAGGTGATTGATTATACATATGTCAAAAAATTAAAAAATGAAGGAAATATACAAAAATGATAAATAGGGTTTTTACTGGGTAATGAGATGATTTAAGATAATTTAAGATAATGCAGCTTTCACCATTTAAGATAATTTTTTAAAACTTTTTTTCATATTTCTAAAACTTTTGACAAAGAGCTTCTATTACTTTCAATCAGAAAACTTCAAAAAGATAGTTTAAAAATGAAATATAATCTAAAGTTCCATGAAAAAATCTACTGTATCCTGCTCAGTTTGTCCAAACATATTTTTGAAAGTGTCTACTTGCTCTTCAGTCTTTCCAAACATAAACATGGATGGTACAATGTAGAATGACCAAAAATTAGACGCTTCACTCTGGAAATACTGGAAGGTATTTGACTGACTTTAAGGTATGTTTAAAACAAACATACATTTTTTTCCTAAATCTTTTGATTCTAACAAAAGAGGAAGATATAACTGGGGAAAAGTCAAGAGAAAGCCTTACATTATTTATTTGTATAGTAAGCATATGGCCTCTGGTAGCATAAGAAACAGCACGGACTCCCTCTGGGAGGCTGTGGGTGGGTCATCCTCTTCAAGAGAGTGGTCTGGGGTGAGGGACATAAATGGAATGGCAAGCAGAGAGGGCAGGGAAGGGTCTGCCCTGGCAATCAAGTCAGCCAAGCCCACCCTGGCTCTCAGTGGGCTGGCAGATGGCACAGCCAGATTGTCCCACCAGCCTGGAGCAACTAACTAAAACAATTACATTCAAGAGGGGATAAATTCATGCTACAATCATATTCTTAATATTAACTGGGGATGGTGGGGTCATGTCCTAATTGGTTTAAGTTGTGAGGAGATAACTCTGGTAAGGGATACACAGAGAAAGGCACAAGCTGGCTTCTTTAGGAACACAAGCCATCAACACTCTGAGAAAATCAATTTAACACCCCTCATCACTCTGCCATCCCCCCAGCCCTACCATTTGATACCATTTGGAAAGTGTTCTTTTGACCTTTACTCATGTGTGTTTCCATGAAATCAGAGTAAGCAACTGTGGGGACCTTGGTGGGGTACATAGAGTCTAGAAAAACAGACATAGTTTTGTTGGGTTTGTGCTATGTTTAAAGAAAATTGAAATCTTGAATGAGTTGCCAACAGTTAAAAATTGAGAGGCTTGGTGTAATTAGGATTTGAGGCTTTTAGAAAAATTAAATCTAGCAAGAGTGAACTGTCATTGTCAATACGGCAACAATCAGCTAGAAATGAGTGACAGATAAGACCTGAAGATGGTACAGACCCCATCATTGTGCCACAGTCCTCACTCAGCCCATTTGCTCCTTTGGATTTCCATGCCTGGTCCCTGTATGTATTCTTGACTGCGATCAATAGAATTGCTCTTACCAGTCAGAAGCTTTCAGGGCTCAGAGTGATTCACAGAGCTGATCTAGCCTTGAGCTGCCTAGGATAAAAAGCCTCCATTGATACAAAAATTCACTCACAGGAACACTTCCTGTCAGTCAGTCTGATAAAGACAGACCCAATTAACTACTATAAACATTCTTAAAGACATGTTAGGAGAGTAGAAAGAGAGACATGTCCCTCTGGAAATCAGGGGTGCTACAGGCAGATAGCTAGAACTGGGGGGCCGAGGAAGATTGGGATATCCTATGGGAAACTCTCAGCCTAGTGGTGGGAACTTAGTAGGAGGTTAGTACATATTTCTTTCCGTCTTCCTAAGAGCAGATGCAGAGCACAGCAAGGAGGAAATGCAGCCAGAACAGTGCAATGCAATGCACACAGGCGCAGCATGCCAAGAGAGAAGGAAGGAGGTAATTGCAGCCTAGACAGCAGGAGCAGCAACAGAACAGGTCTAGGGAAGCTAGGGTGACAGAGGCAGGCAGCATCGTAATAGGGACTGTGCAACTGCAGAATGATTCTGACATATCTTTGATCGTCATACAATCTATGTGGTTAAGTAGGTGCACAGAGTAGATGAAGGCACTAATCCTGGAGAAATTCAAAAGAAATTTACATCAACACTGGTGAGGAGAAAGAATTTATCCCTTTAGTGAGGGAGTGCTGGTTAAAACTGTAATAGGTTTTTTAACAATATATAAAAAATACAGAGAATATGTAACGTACAGAATAGCTAATTTTCATTTGAAATACAAAATTTCTATAGTTAGCAGAAATAAGTTAATTGTTTAATAAAGTTTATTTTTGGCTTACCAATGGTGTGGCTTTAATTGCTTTGGAATAATTTATTTCTAAAGTCTCAATTTAAAAAAAATCAGTCCTTAACTGAAGTAAAATTACCAGAAACATCATGTCACTACCGTAATAACCTGTCAGAGAATGTTACACAAGGGGTGCAGCACAGCGGAAAGCACGGTTACAGATGCAATTATTATTTTTTCTAGCCCTTTACTTCCGGTCATAGCCAACCAGTCACTATACATATGGTAGCTTTTGCAGCATTTATTTCTTTAAATATTTAACAGTCTGAGAGGCAGTGACTCTCAATAACATGTAGCGTTTCCAGCACATTATGAGTGCTTAATAAATTTTAGAACAGTAAAATCCTGTATGATGAAAAACAGCAGTCAGTAAAACTATTACAGTCTACAATATTTTAAAGCCATACCAATAGCTAGTTTAAAAAGAATAGAAAGCAAACAGTGCATTGATTAAATCATGGTCATAAAGGAACATTTATATTCATTAAAAAATCCACCCAGGTAATTTCCCCTTATATGTCTTAGGGGATGGAAAGAAGGCAGGGGGAAAGTGAACAGTGTGGATTAAAAAACAACCCTTCCACCCCCAAAAAGCCATGTGGAGCTCTGCTGACGACGAGCTGGGGCAGCTACATTCGTTGCAACGGTGGGGTGCTCCAAGCGCCTTCGAAACGTCCTCTGCTCCAGCACCAACTGGCAAAACCCTCTAATTTCCTAGATGCCTTCCTGCTTCAAAGGATTTGGTTCTGGAAGGGGAGGCACCCAGGTGGGTGTGTGCGACACTTCCAGACGTGAGCCGGGACCCAGTGCCACCGAGAGAGCGCTCTTCTACCCGGAGAGGAAGTTAAGCCCGTCGAACTCCAGCCGGGAAAACGCGGGCTTGGGACCCGCGGCCGCTCGCTTCCAAGATCTGCCCCCCCAGCCCCCCGGGCCTTCGCGGCTCAAGAAACCGGCGGCGAGGGCTGAGGACCCCGCGCTCTAAGTTTGGGGAAGGAAGTGAGGAAAAAAATAGAGCTGCTCCTTTAAGAACTTCCTTTCCCTTTTACTCTATGTTTACATAACACGGGGGCCGAGCCTCCGCAGGGCCGAGGGGGGCGGGGAGTGGGCGCGGGCGGCCCCACGCGCCAGGGGAGGGGAGGGGAGAGGGGCTCCGCGAGCCCGGGGCGGGCGGCTGGCTCCACGTGGGGCGGGGCGGCTCCCACCTGCCCGCGCGGCGGCCCCCGCCTCCCCCGCGCGGCCCCCGCCCCTCGTGCGCCGGCTCCCTCCTCCTTCCCTTCCTCCCTCCCGCCGGGCTTCGGCGGCGGCACTCGGCGCGGGCAGGTCCCCCTGCTGCCTGGTCCCATTTGTTGCCGGCTCTGACTCCGGGCGGCCGCGGCGCGCGGAGCTCCGGGGAGTCAGGCGGGGCAGCCAAGCAGCCAAAACGGAGCAGCCGCGGGACTGGCCGCCCCGCGCCCCCTTTGCCGCCGTGCCCTTCCCCGGCGCGCTCACCCCGTTCTCGGGATGGGATTGTAGCGGCGGCGCGGACTCGGCGGGGATCGCGACGGAGGCGGCGGCAGCGGCGTCCGCGGCAGAGCGGGGCTCCATGTTTTCCCCTGGCCAGGAGGAGCACTGCGCCCCCAATAAGGAGCCAGTGAAATATGGGGAGCTGGTGGTTCTGGGGTGAGTCCTGGGGTCCCCGGTCCCGGGCAGGGGGGCGGGCGGGCAGAGCCCGCATCCTTGAGTGGGGCTGGCGGGTGGCTCGGCGCTATCCGGTGACCGCCAGGGCGCTCGGGGCGGCGGGAGCGGCTCGCAGGGCCGGGACGGCGGCGCGGGGGCGGGATGCCCCCCTTCGGCGCGCGCTCGGAGCGCTGGGGCGGGTGCCGGGCTGCGCTGTCCGCGGGGTGGACGCGGCGGAGGAAGTGGTGGCCGGGACTCGGGCGACCCCGCGGGGGCAGCGCCGAGCACCCGGTCCGCGGCCGTACCGTGGGGGGGGCAGGCAGGGGCTCCACTTCCCGCGCGCCGCGTCCGGGCTGGGGAGAGCGGGCAAGGACCCGGGGTGAGGCGCAGCCGTCGCAGGCACTTCGCGGGGTAGCTTCCCGAGGCCGAGAAGCCGGCCGGCCCGGAGCCCGGTCTTCCCACCTCCCGCGCTGACCGTGGCTCCCGCGCCCCTGAACTCCGAGCGCGGCTCCGTGAGCTTGGGCCGCCGCGGGCTGTGGGATTCCCGGCTGCGCTCTGCAAATTCTTCCGCTGACCGCCGCTGGCCGCCGCAGCCCGGGGGCGGTGAACTGTGTGTGACCCGGGCCGGCCGGCCGGCCCTCCGCTTCTCCCCGCCGGGAGTGCGCGGAGGGGAGGGGCCAGGATGCGGCTGCTCGGGGCCTGGCACCCGGGCGCGGGCCGCATCCCCGCGGCCTCGCCGATGCCCTCCCGGCGGCAGGGAGCTCGCCACCCTCGCCCGCCTCGGCTCCCTCTCCGCTGGTGAAAGCCGCATTTTGAAGATAGTAATTATGTACAATCGTTAAACGGCAGCAATTAGAGACTTCATCTACTTCCTGAGTTTCCTTGTGACATTTCTATTGTTTACCCTTAATAAGCCAGGAGAGAGGCTTCGCGGGATTAAAGCTGGATAAAGTGGGCAGTGAAAGGGGAAGAGGAGGGGGGAAGTGCAGGAAACTGGGTGGGGGGGAACGAGCAACTTGGGATTAGTGTTGAAGAAAGGATTATTTTTTTCCCTTTGGATGTGTCGCTCCTGGAAACCCGCGCTTTTGTCCTTCTGCGTTAAAAGACCTGTATTCAGAACATCCTGGTCGCTGATAGGTAGGCTTAGCACACAGATGAGGACTTATGGCTGTGGGAGGACTCAGGGAACTTTGCAAAACGTGTTTTGATAAGTGAGTGCCTTGATGTCAGTGCTGACTTAATAATTTTAAAGAGAGGAGTTTTTAAGAGAAAATTCCAGACCCCGCGCAGTTCAAAGCTTCCCAGTTTTCCCGACTTTGTTGCTAGTGCATTAAGTGGGGTGGTATTGGAAATCCCATTACCTATTTTGAAGCTGTTTGCAGATAAGTGTTTTTCTCACCTGCATCTTCATTGCACTTCAAAGACAAGTATCAGGGTTCCCTGGAAGGCAGAAAGAATGACAGTAGAAAAGGCACAGTTTAGTCTGTCTTATGTAACTTCAGCCCAACCTAATTTTGTGGAGTTTGGTTTTGTTTCTGTGGCTGCCTTCAAAGTATGTTTAACACTGTGAACTTGACGCGGAAGATTAACGTCAGCCAGGACTTTATTTCATTATTTCCTTTAGAGGAAATCATGGTTGAGATGTTTCAGAAAAGCAGTGAGAGGGCCTGGAGAGGTTTTGTGTTCATAGCTGGAAGTGCAGGGCATTCCGAAGCCACGGAAAGGATTTAAACACTGGATTGTCGTAGTATCATAGTCTTACTCCACAGGAGCCTGTGGAAATCACGTTGGAGTTGCATATGCTCAGCCCTTTGCTAATGCTTTTCCAGGAGACCGAAGTATGGCATAGTTGGCACTTAGTGGGCAAGACACTCAACTGTCATTTGTGTATCTAGTCTGTGTTTGTGCTCTTGAGGCATTGCTGATGCAGTAAGAACAGGGAACTTTCATTTTAGTGTGGAATGGCAGGCATAAACAGAAACATGCAAATAGATGAGTAATAAGTGACAATTTCAGGTGTAGCCAAGTTCTAAAGAGGAGTTGATAAACTTGGAGAGTGACTGCTTAGGTGAGTATTACTTTCTTCGACTGGAAGGTCAGAGAAGTTCTCTCTGAGGAAGTGAAATGTGAGTAGAGGATGCTAGTCTGGTTTTTGAATACTTGAATTGTGATGTTTTTCTTTTTTTGAGAGTAGGTTTCTGACTCTTTAGCAATGTTGAACACATTGAAGAGTGCAGGTGAAAGAGTGACTGGGTAGATAGATTTTTAAAGAGAACCTTACTCATATTCCACCCTTAGGACTTGAGACCGCATACTTCATCTTAAAACAACAATAACATTCACAGAGAATTGCCGGGCGCGGTGGCTCAAGCCTGTAATCCCAGCACTTTGGGAGGCCGAGGCGGGTGGATCACGAGGTCAAGAGATCGAGACCATCCTG